GGGGACGGAGCCGTCGCGTCCGGAGAAGTCCACAGTCCGGGGACTGCCACAGAGAGGGGAACGCTGAAGTGCAAAGGCAGCGAGAATTTTTTTTTAATGAATAAACGAAGCTTAAACCGCGACACCTTTTTTTTTTTAAGGCACTGATTCTCAAAGTGGCCCTAACCAAAGTGGGAGCATCAGCGTCTCCTAAGAACTTGTCAAAAATGCAAATCTGGAGGCTCCCCAACCCCCGACCTGGGGAACCCTGAACTCCGGGCCGGTGTCTGAACTCTGTCGTAGCGACCTCGCCAGGTAAAGGTACACGCTCAAGTTGGAGAAGCAGGAGCCAGTCCTCCGGGAGCTCCTGCAGGGCCTGTTGGGGACAGATGACCGTGTAGAGCACAGCCGTGTGCAGATCCAAAGTGCACTGCAGCAGGGTCAGCGCTGGGTGGCGGGCGAAGTCTTGAGTGGAGACGTGGAAAGTTCAGGTGGATGGAGCCAGCCCCTCAGCTGGGGTCCGAACAGGCCAGGGAAGAAGTTAAGTGCTTCAGAAACAACCACAGCTGGCTGGAAGCAGAGGGAATCTTCCGGATGGAGTTGGGCTGACACCCACAAGGGGACCTGCCCTCCCGCAGAGTCTGATGTCATCCCTCTCCCTGCTCTCCTGTGTCCCTCTGGGATTCCCTCCCCTCATGGGTAAAGACTAGAGAGAGTTAAACGAACCGCGATCCAAGCTTTACCTAGGGTCATTTCCCCCACCTCTTCTGAAATTTCCACTGGCTCACCAAAGGCTCGGGCAGCTGAGCAAACCTAATAGCAAAAAAAAAGGGGGGGGGGCTTGATGCATTGAGATTCTACAAAAAAATAAAATAAAATCAAGAGACTGGGTTGAACGACACTGGCTCTTCTAGCTTTCTGTCTGAAGCACTGCTGTGGGCGCAGACGTGTCCCCTATAGCTAGAACGTCTTGTAAATGCATCGGGTGTCTTTAGTTAAACCACTGGAGCCTGGACACGGGATCCGTGTGGTTTAGTCTGCCACAGGCAGAAGTCGGGATACATCCTCAGAGGTTAGGGCTTCCTCCCTCCAGCTGAGTAGGCTGTGTGTGGCTCTGGGGAATGCCAAACCCACACCATCACCCCCGCCTCCAACACACAACTGAATTTCCCCTCTCTGGGCTTGAGTCTTATGTGACCTGTGTTCCAAAGATTCTAGACTAATCCACCATTCATTGACTGGCGCAGTGAACAAATAGGCAGGTTCTTCATAGGTTTTTTCATAGATTGCTATTTTAGACTTCTAGTATGCATGACAATTCTGTCATCATCATCATCAACAGGCACTATTTCAAATCTGTATGTTCTCTTGCACATCATGAGCTGCCCACATCTCTCGCCTCTGGGTATTGATTTAACATCTCACCTTCCCATCTAGTATAAATATCCTGCTCCTGATCATTCCTCTGTGGGTGTATTAGCTCACACTTCCCAAAGAGGAAACCCTTTTGGACTCCATTAAGACACAGCCACACAATTACTGGGAGAACGTCTCCATTTATTTCTAACTGCAGATTTAATTAAAAGTTCATCTTTTCTTCTTTGTCCTTAATAACTGGCACAGCATCTCAACTTTTGGATTATTCTAATGATTGTAAAAAAAAATGTGTAGCTACAAAGTGCTAAATCACTGTATCACTCAGTTTTCTTAATCTTCTAGTTTAAATTTTCTTTTTTGTGGAGGAACAAACCAGGACCTAGAAAGAGCAAGTGTGGTATCCAAGATGACACAGTGCTTTAGAGAGCTCTGTATAGAAACTAGAATCAGGACTCTGAACCCTGAGGCCAGAGCTCCTGCTAAATGATAGAAAATAGCTTGATCTTGTATCAGTCTGATAAAAACATCCAGCATCTCTGCCTCTGAGCAGAAAGAGCAGAGAAACCAGGGCAACAATTCACAACAGATCCTAATCGAAACAGAGTTGAGGAAAATAAAGCAGCAGCAGCCAGACCATGGGACACCGGCCCTAAGGATGGAGTTGGCAGATTGCAGAAGGCGCCAGTACAGCGTTTCAGAGTGTTTTGTAGACAAGAGTCTGTATGTTGGGACCAAATCACAGGATTTAACAGGTGGGCAAGAAGGGAATGAAAGAGCTTCAGTGTCACATGAAAGGCTTTGTTTTATTGGCTCGTTTATTTTATTACAAAAATTCCACTCGAAGGCAAAATCATTTGTCGTGAGGTTTGGTCATTAGAGAGGTGCTGTCTGTGAGCACCGAGAGTTCCAATCCCTGGAAGTGTTCGCTGGCTCCAAGGACAGCAGAATGAAAGCCGCTCCACTGTGGGTGACTTCCAGCCTGACAGGAGCCAGGACGGAGGGAGAGTTCAGAAAAATGATTTATTAGCAAGCGATTTGTCATTACCAGTGGGTCTCCAAAGAATCCTCTTATTAAACATTTCTCCTCTAAGGGTTTAAAATGTGCTTATTTGACAGTAGTTGTAATTCTGTATCAGTTTTCAGAAATGTACATGGAAAAATTGGTGTCTTCTCTACAAATGGCCCAACCACGGCTCTCAGCAGGACTGACATTTCACCCCTCCCTGCTCTCCATTTCTGTGCCAACCTAGCACAGAACCAAGTTGCAGTCAGCGGATGCTGGATGGGTAGCTCTGACGGAGAGCGGAAGGAAGGAAAAAGTCAAGGGTCGGAAGTTGCTCTCCCTGCTGGCCTCCAGCCTGGATCACTTAGCCCCAGTACCCATCCATTGCATTCCCTCCTCCCCGCCCCCAGGGCTCTTCCCAGAGCACCAGCAGTAAGATACACAAGGCCTTGCATACACAAGTCCCACACTTGTGCTGCATCCCCCACCTGCACCCCTACCCCCTGGGAGCTAAGTTGAGAGAAAGCAAAACAGAGGACATACTGTAGAAGCTCCGTACTTGGACTCCAGACTCAGACTGCCTAGAATTCAGTCTCATCTCTGCTAGGGCACGATATTTAACTTCAATTTCACCTTCTGAAAAATAGGCGTTAAAAAGTACCTATTCAACACTCTGAAAGCCATTATGAGAATTAATTGAAGCCCTATTGGGAAATCATTAAAATAATTCCTGCCATGTAATAAGAACAATATAAATCAATGAAAGTAAATACAAAGATCATTTTCTTGCTTTCATTTTCAGTGAACTTTGATTTGGATGGTGGACACTACTAATGTTCACCAATATCCAGTTGCCTTTTCCTCCTCTTGAAATTAGTTGTGGCTCTGCTATTAGCACAGATAGATGAAATATAAATGGAGGTTCTGGGTGTTATTTCTAGGTGAAAGCATGTAGAAGCCAGCACTCAAGTTTCCCGTATGTGCCTTCTTCTGCCCCAATGACTAAGAAACGCCAAGCTATTCAAGAAGAGCTGCCCGTAAGGGTCACCTATACCTGCAGCAGACATTATATCAACAGAAAATAAGCTTTACTGTGTTAAAATGCTGGCGTCTGTGGTTTGTTAATGTTCTATAAAATGGTCTAGCCCAGCTGCTGCAGATTCTGAACTTGCTGTAGGCATAGAAAGTGAAGGGAGTGATAACTCTCAACCCTGACTACACTTAACAATCACCCAGGGGGTTTATAAAATCTCCAAGTCTAGGCCACGGGCCAAACCAAGGAAATCAGAATTCCTGAGGAGGGAATGCGTCACTCTGTCCGTTCTTCGATTCTTGCCTTTGCTGTCTTTCTTCCTCTTCTTTCTTCCATGTGAACAAGGGCAGCGTCCGTCCCCACCTCCCCTCCACTGCCCTGGATCCTAATCACTTGTGCTGCTAAAGAGACCTCAGGTCACTGACAGTCCCCTCGTTCCTCTCTCTAACATTTTCATGCTTTGAAAATACTTTCCCCACTTGCCGTCTCTTTCTAGCTTTGGCTCCATCTATTCCAGCCCTTCGTGGCCGGTCTTCTCAGAGCATCGCTCCTAGTCATTCCTAACCCACCACAGACCGGTCTCCACTTCCCAAGTCCCTGAAAGCGCCTCCCAGGTACCGTGAGGCCATTTCCTGTTTCATTTTACTTTACCTGCCTGTGACACCTAACCCTGCTACCACTCCTGTCCTCTGGAAACATTCTCCTGTCTTAGATTGACCGGCCTGAATACTGATTGTGTGACTTCAGCATTTTAATTAACCTATCTGTGCCTGAGTTTCTTTTTTGTAGAAAAGAAGTAACAATGCGTACCCAAATGTGGCTGATAATAGAATCAAGTGAGATAGTAAAGATAGTCTTGTAACCAGACTTCTGAAATAGAAACTCTAATATCCCAAATTTTTTTTTATTCCATAAATTTGTCACAAGTTCATTTGCCAGAAAAATCTGACCTGAACTGTCAGGTAGCTCTCTGTCCTCTTTCTTTCTCTCTCTTGCTGTGAATTTTGACCCTTTATTCTATTTGCTGTGGATATTGACATGTTTTG